ATTTGTTTTAGCTCATTGGCATCAAATATATAGATTGGATGCTCCATAAGCTAAAGGAACTATAGCATAAAGCAAACAGGCAGGTCTCTTCCTACATCCTTCCACACTGCCAGCATCATTCAGACATCACTTATGTTGACCGCCGACACACTTCTGCTTTGGCTACAAAGCTCTTACTTATTTACTGTATTGAGCCAGTGTTTGTACAGAGACGCATGGTGTTGAGTTTCAATAAAAAATACTGCAAGCTAGAAGTGGTGTGGCAACAGACGCAGAGAGAAAACCCAAAACTTTTAGTAAAAGTAAGGAGTAGCCATCTAAGAAATGACTCAAATAGGAGCAAAAAAAGTGGTAAAAAGGCTATTTAGGTGCAAAGTACCTGATTTACTTGCCACTCATGAGCATAACAATTGAAATAATATTTTTAAAATTATAAACGCTTACACATAATATAAAGTTATATGCAAATTCTGGTGCTTCAGAATGAGGTAAAAATATTTAAAATGCAGTAATTAAATAATAATTTTATGTGGAAGGAGAATTTCATATGACAATTTCAGTTTTAAAACTCCAATATAAAAATGTATGTTAGAATAAGGTAAATTACAATATGGTGTATTTTTAACTCTACCACTGACTGACACGGCAGACTCAGTAAGCAAATAAATCCAAAAAGGCCTGAGGACACAAAAGAAGTACGGGTGTGTCTCTCTTCTGGTATATATTTGTTTAAAACCTGTTTTTTATTTGGTAGAATTACTCATAATGGGAAGAGTAGGCAGGAATTTTCTCAAAAAGTAGTGATACGTTTATCTTTTTTTTGTTCATTCCCGTAAAAGTTAATAGTACAGTGTAGCAAAACTATTCCTAAAAGTACATCTTCTTTACATAAAGTCACTTAAATAAATGTAACTGAGTAAATGTGACTACTTCCTACCCACCTCTGTGTGGCAGAAAAAATGACGCTGTGTGGTGTCATGTAGATGGAGATCATAATAAAAATGTCATGTTGATTCCAGTCTACACTGGGATCATTGGTGACCTGTCCTTATTCTTGACCTCCTCTCTCATTTGTTCAGATTCATGTTGTACCATTAGGCAGAATAAGGACTCAATTTACTCAAATTGTAATACTGGATTTTGAAGCTGTCCATTTTCCATCACGCTTATCCCAAGCGGGGTCGTTAAGGGGGCTGGTGCCTATCTTCAGCTCTCTACGGGGGGGAGGCGGGGTACACCTTAGACAGGTTGCCAGTCCATCGCAGGGCAACACAGAGACAAAGAACCATTCACACACACACACTTATACCCTATCGAGTCATGGTTTTGGACTATGGGAGGATCCCGGAGTACCCGGAGAGAACCCATGCATGCTCAGAGAGAACATACAAACTCCATGGAGAAAGAAACCAGGCCGGGAATTTTCTGTGCTACCCACTGCTCCTCTAAGCAGCCCCTTCAAAGGATTTTGAAGCAGTGTAAACCTGTTTGTGTGTAGGTCTGGGTATTTCTATGTGTCCTGCAGAGCCACCAAGGGAGAAAAAAATGATTTCAATGTTCGGCATTACACCAATGCCTCCTTCGATGCCACAATAACTACAGAAATGTTTACGTTCAGTTTGCACCTGACCTTTTAACATGCTCCAAAAAGACACAAAAAACATGAGGCTGCAGTTGAGTTTCACATAAGAAAAGAAAAATCGCTTTACTAATATGATCTACATATTGATGGAGGCATGGATTAAAAAAAAAAGTTTGCCCTCCCTCCCTGCTCAATTGAACACGTAGAATTTATTTGCACCTTCTCTACACACCTACTCTGTATATGCAGACAGGTTTTCACATATTTTGAAACATAAATATCTCTTTAAAATGAAGCAACATGCATCAGTATAGCCCCCTTTTACTCCGGATATTAAATAAAAAACTGATTACAGATTAACCTCAGTACAAAATTTAATCACCAGATCAGTTGCAAAATGAAGACAACTAATACATTTTCAGATGATGGTTTTCCAATTTAACTTGATATCAAGTCAGTAAAATAAATGATATTAAAGACCTTTTGCAGACTTTTTCAAACAAACAGATCTGAAGGTTTTTGTTAGGATAATTAATATTGATGATGTGTGAGTTTATTACATCTAAATATTAGCTGTCTATTGCGTGTCAGAACTGATGTTTTCCTCAGTAGTTTATCTAATTAGGACAGTTCCTCAGTCCGGCTATATACAGTTATAATGTTCATTCTGTACGTGGCAAAGATTTGGGAATGGAATGACTTTTCAAGAAGTGAGCCTGGTTGGTAAGCAGCTGTCTTCTGGTTATTTAATACATATACGTTATGAAGTGTTATTTAAAGAGTTTGTCCCGAGTTATCTATTTTTAGGAAAAGAACCAGAGAGAAAGCTTCAAGTTGTTGACACAAAGCTTTCCTTTGAGATTTCAAATTGCTCAGTTTTATCAACTTCACTATTAACTAGGTGTACCCAAGTTTAAAAACTCATCCGATTGCACAAAGAGTAATGAACCCCAACATTTGACCACCAATTTCTTGACATCTTTAAAATAGAAGCTCCATAAAACAAACAAAAGAGACACAGTGTTGTTCAAGGCCAATAAAAATAAATAAATAATGCAATTCAACTTCTTTATAGTATATCAGGTCTGTTCAGCACTCAAGGAAAAGCAGTTTCATTGTGATCTAATGATTACCTGCTCCATCTCTGTTGTTAATGCTACTCCTACTCAACAGAACTGCTGAGCAAATTTCAAACACGCTGACACCCACAGGGGAAAAAAGCAGGCACACATAATAAATTGCAAATCCCTGGTGGGAATTAGCTTTGCTTCATTTAAAGGGGGTGGACAAAGTGATTCGGAATGATGTGTAAAGCAGGGGCGATGATAATATTACACAGAGGCTGCATGTGACAGCATCCCTCTTCTTGTTTAATTGGGTCTGAACTGGGTTGAGGTGAACCACACTTATTTGCGTCCACTGCAAAATGCATTGGAATAAAAGGCCTACAAGGAGATGCAGTGGTTACCATTGAGGGTCCCGGTTTCAAGTCATGGCTTTCAAGTCTTTTTGCAGTTTGAAAGTTCTCCCCTAAATCTATGAGCTGGTTCTAGATAACTAGAGAACCAGATTGGAGACTGTTTTCCCAGTCCTAATAACCAGGCCTCCTACAGGATGGTAAAACAACTATCTTTTAGGGAAAACAAGGAAAACCGTCTCACACAATGATCAAGTTAAAGTGGAAATTGTAAAGAATTTGTTTGTCCCTGTTCTCATACTTAGATCCAACCTAAAGCACATTTGCATGCCGGCCTGCAGCTTTTTTTCCTATTCTTTGTTTTTTCATTAGAGCAGAAGCAAAGCTACTGTGCATTGTCATAAACACATTATTCGTGGTTTTACTCCCAAAAGCAAATATCATCAAATGAACAAATGGAAAGCACCGAAAATGACCTTCAGCAGCAGTACTTTCATTGCTGTGCTTGGTGAAACATATTGATTGAAATATGCTCTTTCTCTTTCTGCTCCCAAACATTATGCATTATTCAGTGCGAGGTGTTTAGATATAATCTGTTTTTCTCAAACCAAAGGGGCTCTGTAGATGCAGGTTCTACTCAGATTAATAGGTGTAATCTAAGTGGCCTTAGATGAATAAAGGTCACATTATCAGCTGTCTAGCTTTGTATTTTCTGCTTTCAGGTAGACAAACAGAAACACTGAGCTTTAAATCCAGGCACACATTAAGCAGTTTGTAAAATAAAAATAAAACATCTTGTCTGATTGCCAGCTTGGTTCCACGCTGCCTGTCACGATCATGTTCAGGCTGGTTAAAGGGCTAATCTCCAAAGAACAGATCAATGCCTTTTCAGTTAGACAGAAGCTAAGGAATCAGTGGGAGAAAATTGGATTGGCGCCCTTACTAATATATGTAAAATACCCATCTAAGAGTACGGTCTAGATCCATGCCTTGGCATTAATCAGAAAAGGAAGAGAAAGGAGAAAAAGATGGTTGGAAGAGAGAAAAGATTGAAGTATCCTACACTGAATGAAGAAAAGCAAAGAGGAAAGTGTCTTAAAAGAGCAATGAGAAGACAGCAGACAGACTGGAAAGCTGAACATTTGAGAAAAATGGAAAAACAAGAGAGTAAAATGAGATATTACATTTTTCAAAAGTACAGAGGGAGCTGACAGGTGGATGAGACAGCTCTAAGGATCTTCAAGGTCTCTGATGGACTTCAGCTTCAAAAGGATTTCTGCTTTTCAACAAATCCTTCTTTTCTCTCGTTATTCTAAAAGATAGAGTCACTTTCTTCCTTTAGTTCAAAAGAAACTGCCCCTATTAGGAGTCACTTTGCTTCTTTTATAAATCAGATAAACGACACATGAAAGCCACCAGGTTTTATGATAAATAATAACTACATGGTTTAAATACAACTTTGAAACAACTGAACTTTGCTTGCTTAATCCTAGAAGTAGCAAATGCCAGGGGTGTTCAACCCCAGTCCTTTAACATTTGATAAAGCATTCCTGTTCCAACACTATGTACTCAAATGTCCGAATTTCATTCATCAGGGTTTCACTCAGCTCTGCAAAGGCATAAAATCAAGACAGTCATTTGAATCAAGAGAGGAACAGGTGAGCCCCCAGCTAACTGTGTATATAAATACCTCAAGTTAAAACTTTTTGAATGTTTGCTCTCCATATTAGGAAGGGAAAAACAAAGATTATCAATATCTTAAAATAATTAGATTTAATATTGATTTACAAGTCTAGTAAACTAGACAAATAGCAAAACTACTAGAAAGTGCAGACGAAAACTCAAGTTTTGTATTATATGGCTCTACCTACTGAAGTATTTAAATCCAACAGAGCATTTATCAGAACTGTAAGGGTTCTGCCATGTTGAGCTCTCTGCCCCTGGGCAAATTGTGTTACACCGACTTAAGCACAAGGAAATAAAAAAGACAAACATCCTTACTTTCATCGGGGTTAGGTGAGGCAAGGATGGCGCTGTGCTTCCTCTTCACCTCTTCAACCTTCTCTGCCAGAGACTCGATAAAACCCCGGATCTCCTCTACCTGACAGCAGAGAGACAAAGAAGTCATCTAGAGATTATCCTCAGACACCAAGTAGTGGTGATTGCTCTGATGGGTGTTGACGGAGACCAAACTGAGGATGTAGTTATCATTTCAAACCAGAGTAAAGCTGGCTTTAAATGTTTTTCAGAAACCCAACCTAATTCCATGATTTCTCTGAGAATTTGCAATTGTTTGTATCAATACAGTTAAAAAATGTAAAATATATATAGTCGGAAGTTTAGATAAACTCATCATGGGCAGAACAGCCCATAAGCTCAATATTTACCCCATTTATTTACTCAAAAAACACTGAATGTATGTGTATGACCATTGTCCTGTTGGAAAACTGAAATTTTTTTTATTATTATCTTTTATGATTACATACAGCCTTTTTACAGTACACCAATACAAATGGGAGAAAAACAACAAACAAAAAAAAAAAAAAAACCTTAATGATGCCCTTTTTACAGTGATTGCTCCTCTGGTGTGTAAGGGTTGGGACCCCTACAACCTTAAATCTGGTTTTGTTAGACTGATATCTTTGTTCACAGCCTTGTAAATATGACATGTGGTCAATCAGAAAGCAGGGTGACGAAATCAAAGTATCTCCTTTGTTTCTACCTCATCTATCAAGTTTATTTATTCTGAACTAGTTATAGCTAAAGCTGGGTATTCATTTAAATGTTGAAAATGTATTAGATTTTGATTTTCAAGATTAAGAATCTATTTCGTTTGAACTGATCTAATCGTGTTTGATTTCAAATTGGATTGCTGGTATTCAAAATGTTTTTTTATATTTTATCTGAACTACAGTATATCACTGTGAAGTCAGCAAACATATTCTATACTGTTACATGTAAATGGCTGTAAAGCAGTGGAAAGTACATATTTTAATAATCGCTGTTTGGTTATGAGAATCAATCATTAGACCTGGAAAATCTAACTTTTTTCAATACAGCCCCAGTGAAAGCTACGATTTATGTTTTTGTCATGTGTGGCATTTCAGGTTTTGAAAATAAACTGACAATTTTAAACCCTTGCAATGTGGACGAGACATAATGCCACCACCTATGGTTGAACTGAGTTCTTAATTTTGTCATAGTGACATTTGCTTTGTCACTTTGTCCTCAGAAAACATGCTCTCCAGAAGCCCTCTGGGTTGTCCACAGAAGCAGCTGCTCTTTTTTATTTTTTATTTTTTTTTTGGGAGGTGCCATTTTTCGCCTTGCCCATGTTATCGATAAATTCCATGAAATATGGACAACACTGTTGTTTCTGCAGTTTTTATATATGACAGACTTGAGTCCTTATCATTACTGTTTTTTCCTGTACATTGTGTTTTTTTTTTCCTTTCATGAAGAGAGATAATTTGATTCATGTGGTTGATACCTGGGAAAAAAACTGATGTTCCAACAATAATCTAAAAAATACATAAAACATGTATCATTTAATGCCAAAGTCGAAAAACAATCCATCTATTTTCCATCACGCTTATCACAAGCGGGGTCGCTAGGGGTGCTGGTGCCTATCTCCAGCTGTCTATGGACAAGAGGCTGGGTACACCCTGGACAGGTCGCCAATCCATTGCAGGGCAACACAGATACACAAGACACACAACCGTTCACGCACACACTCACACCTAAGGACAATTTAGAGAAGAAAATTAGCCTAACAGTCATGTTTTTAGACTGTGGGAGGAAGCCAGAGTACCTGGAGAGAACCCACGTATGCTCAGGGAGAACATGCAAACTCCGGGTCGGGAATGGAACCAGAACCTTCTTGCGGCAAGGCACGAGTAATACCCACTGCTCCAATGAGCAGCCTCTAGAAAGGAAAACTAGTTCAATAAAATTACAAAGTGCTGATAAATGAGGAAGAAAAACCCTAACCATGTGTGGTCCCAAGGCTAATAGTTCACCGCTTCTGTTTTACATTTGAAATGTTAAACCCAGCCCTCATTTTGACAGGGGACAGTACAGTGCAGACTGCATTGCTGCTAATTTTAATGTTTAAAGAAATACTTAAATTGATCTTTTAATGATTAGGCTAAATGTAACACAGAATATTTTAGGTCTAGTTAATGACTTAGTAACATTACTGCTGTAAGGCTGCAGGTAATTGATTGATGCAACACTACATCGAATCATCGCATCCAACACCTTGAGGGAAAGGAAATATAGTAAGTAAAGTTGCCATATTGTTTTTTTCATTTTGCAACCAAGAATTCAGAAAAGGAACTTTGGAGTCTAGAACAACGTTTCTAATGAATATTAACCTGTAACTTCGAACTTTTTGAATACTCTTGGCAATAAATTTTAGATTCATCCAACATAAAATAAAAATATACTAAAATAGTATGGTCATCACTTGTTTATTGCTTTAACGATTTTTTTCTTTGAACTCTGTATGATCTGCCTCAAAGATCCAGATCTGACATTTTACCCAATCACCTCCCACCTGCTGCCTCATCACCAGCTGAGCTGCTTTGGGTCGCTGCCTGCAGCTGGAGGAGCAGCGGTTACATCTGGCAGCAACTTCATAAATCTGAACTTTCATCTGAAACTGTCAAACTCCTCATGGCTTCCTCCTCCTCTACACCTGCTCCACCAACAGGCCGGGCTCAAAATGTATTTATCTCTATGATATAGTTGTCATTCTTTCAGCAAACCTGGCCTGTCTTCTCCATTTGCTGTTCCCCCTTAACCACCCCGCCACAGTCCATCTTACCAAAGCTGAGGTCATTATTCTAAAATGATCAGATCAGATACACTGAAATTAAATTAAATTGGGAAACAAAAACAAAGCGAAAAAAACAAGAAGGAACCATTTAGAACCTCTTTGTTAGTGAGTCACAGTGCGCCTTCCAGCCCTCATAAGACAAAACGCAATTTATTTACGTGGGAGAAAAAAACAATTTCATATACTTCTGAGAAGCTTGTTTATATGCAAAAACACATGCATACACACACATTTACAATGCACACAGTGTACCATTGCTAAATATTGCATCTCATCTATACGCTAGAAAACACTTTCAAATCCCTCAGGGTTAAAAAAAAAAATCTGTTATAATTTATTATTCAGAGTCTGAAATTCATTCAAGCAAAAACCAAAGAGAAGCTGCTGCAGCGTTGTTAGTGGACTATGGAAACACTACTGGTTATAAAAATAAGTGTTTTCTACTTTTAAATTGCAATTTTTTAATAGTGCAAATGAACACATTTATCATTTAAGCCCCTTTTTGAAAAACAAATATTTCTAATCATTTGAAAGGTTGACTTCTTCTCTTTTCATTTAGTTAATGTTGCAATCTCTAGAATGGCAGCATAAAGACAATTATTTGTCTATAGTTGGCACTCATCAGGCTCAGCTGTTGTTGTTAAAGTCTGCAAGGGTGCAAAAAAATCCTGTACCTTTAAAAAAATCTTACCTCACTTTTGGAAGTTTAGATTTCCTTTATTAGTATCTAAAAGCATTTCCTTTAAACAAAGTAATTCGGGTCAAACCTTTTTGGCGACTGCAGCAACTCCAGCAACACCTTTTGGCCCATTCCTTCTGACAGAGGTGGAGTAATTAAGTCAAAACCTTACCTTAACACCAAACCTTAAACACTTTATATTCACTTGCACCGACTACGAAGTGAGCGGGAAATCCCGACGGCCTTAGAAAGCTTTAACTGGGGATTCAGTGCGCTGTTGCCTGTCGGTGTTATGCCAAGAAATACTTGCCTGCGGAGAATTACCTCCCCTCTGGCACACAGATGAGAAAACAGATTGAAATATAAACGAAAAGGGAACTTTTAAACATATACTTAATGTTTTCATATTTCTTTTGCATGGATGCCCTGAAATTTAGAGTTTTGTTGGACAGTTAAATTCACATGAATAGGATTTTTACATGTATGAAGACACGTTTTAGTCGATGTACTACAGTAGGCATGGCCGCAGGAAGTAGGGTACTGGGGGTGCTGCAGGACCCCTTTGCACAATTTATAAATTTTCTTAAGAGTATTTTGGCGAATGACTTTGAGTTCTTTTATTTTACTCTTTGGATTTCAATTTAATTATTTTGAGGCCTAATCAACAAGTTCATAGAATTTACGTTGTCATGGCAAAGCCGAGCAAGCTACAGCATGCTACAGCAGACTAGTAAATGCACATTAACAGAAAGGAGGAGGAAAAAAGGCACAGAAACGCATTTCGCATTCATTCGCTTATCTCCACGACCTCAGAGCGCACCTGAACATTTGGACACCTGTAACCAGGCAAACCACCCTGCCTATAGCTCAAAGTAAGAGCATGGTGCTGCCGCGCACATTCATGTCTATTCGTGCAGCTTAACGTAACCATAGTATTTCAGAGTGTTATTTTGATCTTGTACTTTTTGTATAATGGATGTAAAGAACTGTTCAATAAGTAGTATAATAACAAAATTACTTTGTTGTGGTTTGCGTAAATGGATATTGGAGCTAATAGAGTCATGTATGACATAAACAGGTTCATGCCATCTGACCAAATCTACGTTGTTATAGTGTGATGATTAATCAATAGCGCATATATTCCCCTAGAACTGATGATGTCACTGTGTTACAGACCCTGGTTGCATGCACTGAACTGCATAAGACAATAAAGTAGTGAATCTTTATGTGTGTACTTATTTATTTTTACTGTATTTTAAATAGGTCAATAGGCTCATATTCTTTTGTAAAAAAAAAACACAACCCCCTGTTCAATAAGACTTCCAGTGGCCCAGAAAGTAAGTGTCCAATAAATGGATTCTCTGCTCAGTGGAATGCATTTTCTGCTTTTGTTATCAATGTGTGAGAGTTTAGGGTGATGCACATTCCCACAACAGGGGAGGTAATCCTTGGCAGGCAGGTATTTCTCACCATTTATCTGTCAACCAGAACTCTCAATTTCAGAGCATCCATTCATACAAAATATGAAAACATTAAGTATATTTTTAAAAGTTCCCATTTTGTTCTTGTTTGAATAAACTAG